AACTAAATCTCCAGGATAGCATAAATTTATTTTAATTGAGACACACACATAATAGATGCATATCATGTAATATTTAAGTATATGTATACATCCTATAAGTTGAAATCAGGATAAACATATTTAAATATTTTTATTTATTAATAACAGAGACTTTAAAATGGCATTGCTCAACTATGTTCATAGCAGCAATTTTTGTCATAGCCAAACCCTGAAAACAACCTAAATGCCACTCGATCAAAGAATGGATAAGGAAAATGTGGTGCATTTACACAATGGAGTACTACACAGCAGAGAAAAATAATGACATCTTGAATTTTGCAGGCAAAATGGATGGAGCTAGAAAACATCATTTTGAACAAGGTAACCCAGACCCAGAAAGATAATTATCACATGTACTCACTCATAAGTGGTTTTTAAACATAAAGCAAAGAAAACCAGCCTACACACCACAATCCCAGAGAACCTACACAACAATGAGGACCGTAACAGAGACATACATAGATGTAATCTACATGAGAAGTAGAAAAAGACAAGACCTCCTGAGTAAATTGGGAGCATGGGGACCTTAAGAGAGGGTTGAAGGGGAGGGGAGAGGTGGGGTGAGAGCAGAGAAAAATGTAGAGCTCAATAAAAATCAATTAAAAATACATTATCCTTGCTTTGGGAAAAATATACTGACTAGTGTCACCTCACGGGGCTACATTTTCAAAAATTTTTTTTTTATTGCAAACAGTTTTTTTTGTGCACTCAATTCTGATTCTTGTGCTCTCTAACTCCCACCACCTCCTCTAAGATCCTCCTCCGCCTCCCCTCCCATCTGAATTCACATCCTTTCTGTCTCTCCTTTAAAAGTTAGACAAATGGGCAGACAGTAGTGGCTCATGCCTTTAGTCCCGGCTCTCAGGAAACAGAGGCAGGTGGATCTCTGTGAGTTTGAGACCAGTCTAGCACAAAACAACTTCTAGGACAGCCAGAGAAACTCTGTCTCAGAAAACAAAACAAAAAAATCAAACAGTCATCTAAAAATAGTAATAAAATAAGATAAAGCAAAACCAAGCAAACCAGAATAGAAACAAACAGAAGAAAAAGCCCAAGGAACATATAGATAGATGCAAACACACACACACAGTCCTGTACAGAAGATTCCCACAAAACATAGATACAAAGACACACATGGTCCTGTACATAAGAATCCCATAGAACATAGATACAAAGACACACACGGTCCTGTACACAAGAATCCCATAGAACATAGATACAAAGACACACACGGTCTTGTACACAAGATTCCCATAGAACATATAGATAGATACAAAGGCACACACGGTCCTGTACACAAGATTCTCGTAGAACATATAGATAGATGCAAAGACACACACGGTCGGGTACACAAGATTCCCACAGAACATAGATACAAAGACACACACGGTCCTGTACACAAGATTCTCATATGATGTGGGAGTGTCATATATCAATCTGTTGATTTCATTGGTTAAGCAATAAAGAAACTGCTTGGCTGGCCCTCATAGGTTAAAACATAGGTGGGAGGAGTAAACAGAACAGAATGCTGGGAGGAAGAGGAAGTGAGCTCAGACTCGACAGCTCTCCTCTCGGGAGCAGACGCCTCAGAAGAGATGTCATGCTCTCCTCTCCCTGATAGACACGATAGCTCTGCTCTCTGAAGCACATGCGATGAAGCTCTGACCCAGGATGGACGTAGGCTAGAATCTTCCTGGTAAGCGCACCTCGTGGTGCTACATAGATTATAAGAAATGGGTTAAGAGGTTGAAACTAATGAGCCAAGCAGTGTTTAAATGAATACAGTTTGTGTGTTGTTATTTCGGGCATAAGCTAGCCAGGAGGCCGGGGTGCTGGGGACGCAGCCCCGCCGCTCCTTATTACTACACTCATAGAACATATAGATAGATGCAAAGACACACACGGTCCTGTACACAAGATTCCCGCAGAACATAAGACAGACACAAAGACACACACGGTCCTGTACACAAGATTCCCGTAGAACATATAGATAGATGCAAAGACACACACGGTCCTGTACACAAGATTCCCACAGAACATAGATACAAAGACACACACGGTCCTGTACAGAAGATTCTCGTAGAACATAGATACAAAGACACACACGGTCCTGTACACAAGATTCCCATAGAACATATATACAAAGACACACACAGTCCTGTACACAAGATTCCCATAGAACATAGTTACAAAGACACACACGGTCCTGTACACAAGATTCCCATAGAACATATAGATAGATGCAAAGACACACACGGTCCTGTACACAAGATTCCCACAGAACATAGATACAAAGACACACATGGTCCTGTACACAAGATTCCCATAGAACATATAGATAGTTACAAAGGTACACAGGGTCCTGTACACAAGATTCCCATAGAACATAGATACAAAGACACACACGGTCCTGTACACAAGAATCCCATAGAACATAGATACAAAGACACACACGGTCGGGTACACAAGATTTCCATAGAACATAGATACAAAGACACACACGGTCCTGTACAAAAGATTCTCGTAGAACATATAGATAGATGCAAAGACACACATGGTCCTGTACACAAGATTCCCGTAGAACATATAGATAGATACAAAGACACACACAGTCCTGTACACAAGATTCCAAAAAAGTGAGAGCCATAATTCATGAGCAAAGGACCTGTGATGTTTCTTTAAAAATGTCTGTCTAAACATTGTAAGACAAAGGACCTGCAAAGATATTGTTGAGTTATTTTTGTGTTGACCATCTGCTTCTGGGCATGAGACCTGCCCTTAAGAGTAGTTTGTATCTCCCATAAGAGTCCACTGAAAAGAACTAATTCTTCATTTGCAAGTGATTATCAAGTGGAGATAGCTTCTGGGGCAGCGATGGGGTCTTGTGTCAGTTTCTGTCTTCTGAAATCCCATCCGGTGCAGCCCCATGCTGGCCCTGTGCGTGCTGCTACAGTCTCTGCCTTCGTCGGTCCTGCTGGGTTTACAAAGCCTTATTTCCTTGCTGTCCTCCATCCTTTGGTTTTACAGTCTTTCTGCCTTTTCTTCCACAGAGTTCCCTGAGCTCTGAGGAGGAGAGATTTGATACAGACATTTAGTACTATAAGCTTCTTATATAGCCTGGAAGGAGACTACGTAGTTAGACCCTGCTCCTCTCCGACCTGTTTTGTCCGATCAGGATGATATTCTCTTTCTTGGCCCTTTAGCATGCCAGGCACACCAAGCCTCAGGGTCCTTGTTCTTCTGCTTAGAACACACTTCTTTGGGAATTGACATCATCTTTTCCTTGATCCTTATAGGTTGTTGTTCAAGTGTCATCTTCTTAGAAAACCTCCTGATTCTGTGGTGACCTCTAAGCATGAGGGGTGACCCCTCATGCTTTCCTGTCATTTACCACCTAGTATTTCTTCTTTTTTTATGTTACAGACGCTTCTTCCTCCAATGAATGTACGCTCCAGGGACTTGAGAGACTTCAGGGAGTTTAAATCTATAACTTTAGGATTTATTGTGGGTAGTTATCTAGTAAAGTTTATTGAATGAATGTATAAGATAAAATAGACAACCAGAGATATGGATCTGGAGGATATTAAATGATGTTGCAATAAAATTATGTTTACTACTAGAAAGATTGTGTTATTGGATAAGAGATAGCCCTTGTTTACGTTGCTTTAAAAGGCATTGCTATGCTCATGGACTGGTAGGAAATAACTTCAAGAGTTATCTGTGCGGTGTGGGACTTCCCAGCCGCTGGGCTGGCCACCATGTACAGGATGTCTTAAGATAAACTGAGGCCCTTATCCAAGGAAACTTAGGAAAGAAACTAAAAATATCACTTGTGAGGAATGTTATGAGTTTAAACCTCATGCTGGGAGAGTTCTGCTTGCTGCCCTCTAGGGGTCCATGATGGCTACTTGGAGAATCTCTTTTCTTCAGAGCCCTTGGAATGAAGTTGTAGTTGTTGCTTTGCGTGTGTTTTTATTTCTGTGACGCCATTTGATAGAATGGGTGCTTTCACAGAGCTATTACACAGAGAAACCCTGTGTCGAGTGTTGGGGGTGGTGGGGGGCAGGGGGCAGCGAGCATGAAACTTGAGTGCTCTTGCAAGCTCTGTCCCATATTTGGTCTCATTACGGAGTGTATTTAAATCCCGTAGGTTATTTTGGGTAAATAGAGATTCAGTGGTTTTCACTGATTCTGCCAATCTAAATTCAGGTTTCTTTATTAGATCATGCCTTGGTATGTTTGTGTGAACCATTTAGGAAAGAATTTGAGTAGAAATAGTTTATAATCTCTGCGTTAGAATGACCTTTTTTCTGTTCCAAGCTCCTAGATTTACCTCCTTCCTATTATCACTCCTTAAGCCCCTCACTTAAGAATACATGACGCTTGGTGGGCTGTTTCCAAATGCCCAGGAGTACTGACATTGTTTAACTCACAACCTTATAGTAATTTTCCAGTTGTGGAAAAAAAAAAGTTTATCCCATAATCTTCTTGCCAACTGTGTTTGTCCATGGAATGGTCTGCTCACGCTGAAGAACTGGGAGCTGTAGACTGTTATTTTTAGGACTCTGTATCACTTCACCCTTTTTGCCAGAATGGTTCCTGGCTAACTTTCCCATGAATTTTTAACCTTTTGCTGGGCTTTGCTTATGTAACAGGAAACAGGCTGTCAGGAACAAACAAATACCAGCCTATCAGGCACACACGTAGTAGCAAATGATGTGGTTTGCCCTTCCAGCTCTTAAAGTAGACTGATACACGCACTCGATTTGAAGTCTCTGGCGTGGTATCTCTACATTAAGATAGCACAGATTTAACTTTGGAAAGGCAAAATCTTCTACAAAGGCCATGATTTGATTCAGGTCACAGGGAAAATGCACTTCATATAAAGTGAACTTTGTGTTGGTGTCATGTCCTGGGACTGTGGATTTAAGTATATCTTCGCTTTTTCTCCAACTCTAAAGGCTGGAGTGATGTGCAAGCTTCAAGAGAGAGATGATATCGGGCGTATCGAGCTGGTCCAGAGGCTGGCCAGAGAAAACTGCCAGTTTCTACAGACCGACAGAAAAGAGCCAGAGAAGTCTGAGCAGGTAAGCCCCTTTCCTCTTGGCAATGTGTATTAGAATGGGTGGGAAAATGGTTGTATATATGAAGGCAAAAATCTTGTATTTGGAATTGTTTAGGTTTTTACCTCTGCACACAGCCTTCTCAGTAAAGATGGTAGATGCTCTGAACTCTTCAGCTAGTGGTTTTGGAACCGGTTTTAAGAGAACTCTTCTCAGAAGTAAGCCATAGAGAGATGTAGACAGCCATGAATGCATGTCTGTCATGATTCTGAGTGGATAGCTTCCCAGTCTTACACTGTAAATTTCGTTCCATTAAATAGTACAGAGAACATAGATTTTTGAAAGACTGTTCCAGTGTACTTTTATGTTTACCTTGATTGTGAATCTCATTTCCAGAGGAATGTATCCTGAATCACTAGAAACAGATAAGGCCAGAAAAGCAGATTCTAGCTGCTCGCACTGAGGGTGGGTCAGATGGAGACTTCCCAGAGCTTCTGGATGCTGTGTCCAACAAGAGTGACTTTATATGGCTACAGTGGAAGCTGGGGGAGAGGACGAGTTGCTTGGTCTGCTGAAAGCAGTTATTCAGCTGGAGCCTCAGAGCTGAGAATGCTGCCCTCAGGCCGGGAAGACAATGTAGCCACTTTCTTCCCCACATATTGTGATCCACTGATTGTTATTTGTCAGACTTGGCTCTTACTGGCCAGGACTGCTCACAAAGGAGAACAGTTGCCTGTCTTTCTCTGGCAGTAGTGTTTGCTTCACATTTTATTTTCAAACCCTTCCAGGGGAGATGCTGTTCCGTGCTTTTTCAGACCTAAGTCTGTCCATACAAATGATAGGGTTTTATTGAGCAAGAGATGGGTTAGGACCTTCAGGGTTAGCTGTTTAGCTGACTAACATGGAATATTTTCAACAGTTTGGCTTAGCATTGTGACAGTTGTTGTCTCAATTGGTGGGAATGATAAGATAATTTCAGAGTCTTGAGATCCAACTGTTGCAGGGCTGGCTGTTGGCTTTATAGTGGAAGACTCAGACACCTACCCTTTGCTGAGTATTATAGAAGGGTTCAAGGATCTGTTTAAGGTGTTAAAAGGACCCTAAAGTTTGCCTGTGTCACAGCCTAACTCTTACCCCATCATATCCTTGGAATATTTGTTTATCTTAATTGTAGCTTCAACTTCTCAAGGTGCTGTTCCTTTGGATTCATTTTAATTAGGAGACTCGTAGTTTTCATTTGTTTTTTTGGTTTTAAAATGCACTGTGAGTCTTAATTACTGATGGTGTGAACACATGACTTAGTTTAATTGGGGGTGTTCTTTCCTAGTTGTCCTTCAAATGACTGCTATATCTTATGGGGGATTGCAAGTGAGGTGCTTTGAACCAGTGACAACTTGATAGGTTAGAGTTGTTCCAAGTCAAATGGCAGAGTCTTACTCACAGGGACTGAAGGTAGGCTTCAGCATGAAACACTCGGTGCCAGTCACAAGATACCAGTGTTGCCTTTGTTTTGTAACTGTTTTAATTGAGAATATTATAGTTATAGCTAGTGAGATTATAATTCCCTCAAAGTGTAGAACTCGGAAGCCGGTGTTAGTTGGTTAGGCTATTAAAGGAGCCAGAAATTTCAAGTACAAAGATTTGCAGCTTGGTTTATGATTATTTTCTTTCTAGCCTTTAAAACTTTTAAAGTTTCTAAAATAGAGTGTTCACCGTGATGTTTTTTAGTTCTTGCATGAATGTCGTATGACATTTACATCTCTGAAATATTTGCTTCTAAGAGTAAAGAAGATGTATAAACAAACATTGGAATTTTGGCTTTTTCCAGTAGACTTTCCCATTGAGCTTAAAGTAAGGAAAAGTGGCTATCAAGGACTTTCCTATGTGACTGACAAATGTCTACTCAGCTGCCCTGTGATCTCCATCTGCAGGATGACACCACTTGTCTGTCAGCACCCAGAGCTCAAACTGATGTGCTATTCATAAAGGAATGGCTATGTATTAGGTGCCTATATGTTCTCACAATCACTGTCAAAGAATCCAAGCCTTCTGACCTTATTTTAACCATCCATATCTTGAGAATCTGTTGTAACAATACCTTTGCTAAGGTCTGTGTTCATGAGTTTCAGTTTCTTTGCAATCTCAGGCCTCTGCTCTTGCTCGTGGAAACTTGGTTGAAGCACACAGCACAGGCAGAGGAAACTGCAAGTCACCCATGTAAACCCAAGTCCACCGCTTCCTCCTCTCATTTCCACAGTAATGATCCAATCCTGCAATTGTTACAGATTTCCTTTCTTTCATTATTTGAAAATCCTTTATCTACCTCATCTATCTTTCCTGACTGAAGCTAAGTAAGAGTGGCAACATTTAAGTTAGAATCCCAACTGCCTGTAGGATTATTCTTTTTACTCAGCCGTATTCTCCAGTTGCAGAACACCACATTCTGTTCCTCGTGTGTGTGTGTGTGTGTGTGTGTCCAAACAGGAAAGTAACTTTGAAGGACAACTACTGGTGGGCATGGCGTGAAGTTAGTAAAACTAAGCCCTTGTGACTCTTACTGCCCTATTACAAATTTAGGGCAGCAGAGCCTTTTGAGTGGGCAGTTCTAGTATTTTCTTAAATTGCCAAATGCTGTGATTATGAATTCATGTAATCATAAAATGTTTTACTATACTTATACCAAGATGTTTCAGAAGGGAAAATTGGAAATGCAGTTTTCATGTTTCTCAGGAATCACTCAGCGTAACTCTTTTCTGTTAACTAGCTTAAGCAAAACTGAGCCTCACTCATTTATAAGTGTTGATCATTAATATGTGGAGACTTAAACAAGAGGGTAAAAATGAAACTGTCTTCTTAACATTATGATGGGAAAATTAACATTCAGTCATTAATTCTTTGAAGAAATTGATCTCTTCTGTAAGCATAGATTTGTAATGCTTAATTCTGTAGTTATATCAGTAGAGAAAAGGAACAACAGGAATTCTGCACATGACCTTGGAGGGTGACCTTGGAGGGTCAGAGAAAGGAGCATGGCAGGGGAGAGCATTTTGGGCAAAGGAACCAGTTATTCTTGATTCATTTGGAACAGAAAGGGGTTGGCGGAAAGGAAGGCTGAAATGCAGTTGTGAAAGATCTAGAAGGCCACCCGAGTGAGTTCAGACTTGTCCTTTTGGCAAGGGAGAGCCATCAACGAAGACAAGTAACATGGCTCGTTGTGGATTTTGTCAGGTCTTTCTGGCTTCAGTTCAGAGGAATAATTGGGTGAGGAAGTGGAAAATGTTGGCGAGAATCTTACAAAAGCTGTTGTTGTAGTCGGTCCGATGAGAGGTGCTAGGCTGTGGGAACTGAGAAGGCGGTAGATGTTGAGCTGTATAGGCATGAAATGGCAGAACTCGATGATTGATAATTGGGAATTCATGTCCTATTTCATATGAAAATTTTTGAATCCTGATTTATGTTTCTTGAATTCAGAATAGAAATAAGTATGCTGTGGGTTTTTTGTTGTTTTTTGTTTTATCTTTAGAGACAAAATCTCCCTGTGTGACTTGGGGTAGCTTTGAATTCATTGTCCTCCAGCCTTACTTCTCTGAATGCTGGGATTATAAGTCTGTAACAGCATGCCTGGCTGGGATGCTCTGTTTATCATCAGAATAATTGCCCACTCTGGAGCTTTGTCCCAAATCCACAGAAGCCATTGACTTCGCTTTGTTTTGATCATTTGATTGTGCGCTGTGCTGAAACTGTTTGGTATCTCAATATACATCTGGCTTATGAGTTGCTAGTTGGGTAACAGTGTGGATAGCACATAAACATTTTTCCGAAAACAATCCCCTTGAAATATCTTCAAAGAGCATCCCTATTTATCCCTACTCTTTTGGCCAAATTTTTCTGTTAACTGCAGCACTATCTACTTTGTTCAGAAGATGTCTCTATTATTGTCAGGCTTCTTTCTGTAACCTATGTGTTCTGAGTTACTCTGACTAATATGTTATTCTAGAATGTTCTCTTCCTATCTATTCATTTATTAAACTTTTACTTAGGTTGATATCACAGAGAATTTAGAATAACTGTGCTGGCCCCTGCTCCTCCAGAAGCTAATCTAGTTGTGAAGGAAAGACATTATGATGATTGAGCGCTCTGCAGGAAGGATGCATTGAGAGCCCACCCACAAGATAAACATGCAAGGAGGGGATTTCCAGCTGGGGATACAGATCCTCCCTACCTCACAGATAGAATTTGGTATGGTTTTTAAAGTAAGTTTGGGTTGGACTTAATTCTAATTCTGGTCCGGTGAGTTGGAAAGCTGGTGGGGATGGTGGTTAGGTAGGGCTAGGCTTGGCAACTCCACTGTGGTTGCCTTGGGAGTACATCTTCCCTCATCACTTGTCTTTGGAGTAAGGACACAGAGCTAGGAAGCACATATGACAAGAGTCATGGTATCTCTGAGGAAGAAGAAATGAATGAGACAGGCAGCCCTGGAGGAAGAGGACAGAATGATGGAGTCAAGGAAACGCTGGACTACTTGGTTCTCTGCCCATCTTACATCAGTAAAACAGATTCACTGAGGTTTCTGCTTAGACGTGGGTGCTATTTTCTGGAATGCAGCTGCAGTGTGAACCGTGACACTGAAACTATTTCTCTTGAAATGCAGCTCATGTTTTATGTACATGAGCTATACCAGCAGTAGCTCCCGATCGGACTCCCCGTTCCCACTTGTAGAAATTCTATGGAAGCAGTTGTTCGGCAGACCTTCCTGAGGGACTTCGTCTCCACCCTGCCTCTTTCCACCCAGATTTCTTCAGTTCCTTTGTTAAGTCTGTGGACCCACCCGACTTCCTTCCCCTTCTCTAATTCATCCTGAGATATGGATGGGAAGGGGACTTGGCGCATTCTGAAACTGAATCTTGGCATGGTCTGCTGCCTACCCCAGGGAAGAAAGCTCCCTATCGCTCCCACTGGACCGGAATTTCCTTTTCTCTGTTTCCTGCAGCCTCATCCTGGAATTCTACAGACGTCAAAGGGGC